CCCACATACAGCAACTAGAAGGATGTGCAGCTATGACATACAACTATCTACTGGGGCTTTGGGGGAAAAATAAATAAATAAAATTATAAAAAAAAAATTCGTGATTTTAAGAACAAAGAGAGAGTAAGATCTTTGATGTATTTAGTGCTGTTATTCTCTCCAGCTCTCAGATTCCATATCTATAAAGGGAGGGCATTGAACTTAAATGATCTTGAATATCTCCTCTTTCCCATGCTCTGGGATAAGCAATGGCTTGACTATTGGGAAGTCAATGACTAGGAAGTATGTGTTCTTGATTGTTCATTTTATTCTGTATTTTCCCTTACATTAGAATTTTCCCTTCTGTGCAGCCTCTTTCAGCATCCTCTGAATGGAACGAAGAATTGAAACATAAATATTTGACTAAAAAAAAAAAAAAATTTAAATCATCTAAGCTGGAAGCTTTTGAAGATTTTGAAGAGGTTAGCTTAGATTCCCAACTACCAGAAAAACCTTTAACACTCTTTGGATGTGGAGGTGTGGAAAAACCATTGGATTTAAGTCGGATGGATTTATTTAAACCAACAGGAATTAAATCAGCGTTTCCAAAAGACGTTTCACAAAAAATGTCTGTTTCTAGCAGTTTTGCTGCCTCTCCCCCAATCTGTTTGCCAGCTGCCCGCCATGTTAATTTTACTGCCCTCTGTTCTTCCACCTTACCTCCTCAGCACCCTCTCTCTGGTTCTCTGGCTAGTCCCAAAGAGTTTGGTCCATCTGCGAGTGACCAAGGCCTTGGGACTGCCAGTTGCACTGACATTTCCTTTGAGTCATGTTCTCTTCCTAGGCTGTCTTCCCAGAACCCACCTTTTGGATCCCTTGCTGGTTCTGCTTTTTCAGGTGCCTTGTTTAGCTCCAAACAGTTTGATCTACCTAAAACTGATCCAAGCCTCCAGATCCCCAGTCCTGCTAGCATTTGCCTTAAGTTGGACCCTCCCCTGCAGCAGAATCTTTTTCTCTCTCCTCCTAAATTTAGCTTTCAAGGTCTTTCTGGTTCCTCTCCTCTTCCTTTTCAAAATTCCCATGCTCCTTTGAGCACCAGTTCCAAGCCGTCAATAGATCTCTTTGACCTTGCCCGCAATGAATTGGAGGCTTCTTATCCATCAAATATTTCTGCCAGAACTGCATCATCAGATTCTCTCCAAGATGAATCTTGGCCTACTTCAAGTCATGAAAGTTCTTTTGAAACAGAAAGTGATGAAACATCAGGACTTCTGGCAAGTAGGTTTTTAAAAAAGATGGCAAAATCTGATATAATAAGAAGTGACTTTACTGCAAGCTTTAAGGCACAAAAAGACAAGGTTGACATAGTCCACATACAAAGCCAGAGGAATTTTGTGCCTTGGAATGAACTCTTCAGTCTGCAAACTGAGGTATTAGTCTTATTTTGCCTTAAGTCAATGGTTAATTAGCTTCACAGTTTTGAACAGTGCTGCTTAAAGTAGCTGGTCGTTGAACTGTGTATTATCAGTTCATAGTGGGTTAAGGGACTTATGCCAGAATGTAAATGAACACACTGCTTCCTTCATTGAGAAAATCTTGCTTAAAAAAAAAAGTCAATTGAACAAAACAGTGTGCTTAATGATGACTGGTATTTGTCTATCTATTTTTCACTGTTAGGCCAGAATATCATGCCAGTGAATGTTAATATTCCTCAGTTGAAAATTAGCATCCCTGAATGGGTCGTGGGGTAAGACCTTAATTTCCTAGGTTCTAGAACTGATGAACTGCAATTCACGTAAATTTCCCCTTGTGAAATAAAGCACAAGTGCTGTAAGAATACTCTAAATATTTTCACATAAGGTCTTGGGAATATTACCCAACATGTAAGACTGTGTTAGAACTTATTATTCCATTTTTGAAACTAATAAACACTTTATAAATTTAGCTTCTGCACTGGTACTAAGAGCCAATCTCACATTTGTAATTATTTGTTTTGATGTAAAGTAGTTTAGTAAAGTGCAAAAGCAACTTGATTTAGTATAAGACTAAGTTAGAGTCCCAGCCCTACCACTTTGTGATTTGGGGCAAGTCAGATAACGTTTCTGAGTCTCAGTTTCCTCATCCATATAATGGGAATAATAATAGTGTCTACCTCATAGAGTAGTTTTGAGGTTTAAACATGATCATAATAGCTGGCCAGCTTCCCTTGCCTGGAAGAATGTACATGAAAGCAGTGTAGGAAGCAGGATAGCAGATACGCTGGACCCTGGAGCCAGACTGCTGGGGCTCAAATCCTGACTGTGCTGCTTGTTAGCTGTGTGACTTTGGACAAGTTGCTTCCCATTTCTGTGCCTCAGTGTCGTTATCTGCAAAGTGGGTATAGTAATAATACCTGCACAAGAGGTAACTGAAAAGATGAAAAAGCCGCACCTGGTACTGCTTCAGGTTGGCACACAGTATCATTGCTGTTATTTTTCAAATGATTGCCATAGATCCTTTAACCTGTGCACGTGTCTATGACATCACCCTCCTTTCTGCTCCCTGTATTCGTTCCCCTGGGACCTGGACTCTATGTACTTCAAGGTTAGGATCCTCACGTTCAGGCTTACCACACTCTCACAAGCATCTGATAAAGATCAGCCTTAAAAGCAGTGATTCTTACCTGGGGTGGGCAGGGGACGATGAGCACCAGAAAGGCAGTTTTAAAGAGCATGTTCAACCTAATAATTCTATATTTAGTAAAAAACTGTCATTTTCATGTTTCAGAAATCATGAGGGCACATTTTTAACGCTGAACAAAAGGAATCATGCTATTTAAAAGTTTGAGAAACATTGCTTCAGAGCATTGCTAGAAGAAAAAAATATATAATACCTTTTTTAAAACTCTCTACACTTGAGCCTCTTTCCAAACTTTTTATAAATGCCACCAGATAGTTAGGGTCCATAGTATTTATGAAATTCCCAACAATACTGTATCACTAGTATATGAAGAACTTTGATTTTATGGTAATAAAATGTTTTTAAATGTCTTAATAAGCTGAATTGAAATAATTGGAAACATTTATCACATAACTTCTTATGTGATGAAATTTCAATAATGTGGCTTTAATTTGTTTTCTTAACTTCAAAGGATGGCTTCTGGAAACTTACGCCAGAACTGGGATTTATATTAAACCTTAATACAAATATTTTAAACAGCTTTCTTGAACAAAAAGGCATTCGATCTCTAGGTAAGTCACTATTTTTCTATTCATTAAATGGCATGCCCTTAATTGTTATAAATTTTTTTTAAACCTGTGTACTGATATAATAATTATGTAAGTTACATTTGAATGGAATTATATTTGTTAACCGTCAAAGGAAATAGGGGAGTAGTTTCTAGTCATATCTTTACTACTAATTAGGGTATTACCTGTGCAAATTTATTAGCATAAGTACCAATCACTGTTATAAAAAAATCCAAAATCTCAGTAGCTTGCTGTATCACAGTCAAATATTGGTCAGCAGGGAAGTTCCACTCCATGTAGTCATTTAGAGACCCAGGTTCTTTCCATTTTTATGGCCCTACCATCATCAACGTGTGTCTTTAAAATTACTCTGGTGAAAAGAAAAGAAGAAAAAAAGATTACTCTGGCATCATCTACCTGATAGATAGGAGGGAGAGAGAGAAAATGTGGCAAGGACTAGTCACAGAGCCCCACCCAGATACAAGGGAGCTGGGAAGTGAACTTTAGCTTTGTGCCCAGGAAGAGAAAACAGTTTTGATGAGCATTTAGTTAGTCTCTGCCAGAGCAACTTATTTAACCTCTCTGGACCTGTTTCTTATCATGACAATGAAGGGGAATTACAGCCATGCTGTGGCGGTGCCCCACATGCAAAATAGAGGAAGACTGGCATAGATGTTAGCTCAGGGATAATCTTCCTCACAAAAATAAATAAATAATAAAAATAAATTAAAATTAAAATTAAGGAAATTAACAAAAGATAAACAAACAAAAGCTGATACAAAGTCAAAGGATATAAGGTCAAAATACAAAAACCAATTTTAATTCCATATATTAGCCACAAATAATTGAAAAATTCCATTTAAAAATACTATTTACAATGGTATTACAAACATTAAATACTTAATGAATTTAAAGAAAGATGTGCAAGATTTCTAAAATGAAAACTACAAAACATTATTGAGAGAATTTCTAAAAGATCTAAATAAATGGAGAATTTTCCAGTGTAATGAGATTGGAAAACTCAATAATGTTAAGATGACATTTCTCCCCAAATTGATCTATAGATTCATTGCTATGAGCAACTTTGCCCACAAATCTGATAACCTAGGTAAATGGACTGATTCCTTGAAAGACGATATCTGCCAAAACTCACACAAGAAGAAATAGACAATATGAATAGGCCGATATCAATTAAAGAAATTGAATCAATAATTAATAACCTTTCAAAACAGAATGCACCAGGCCCAGAGGCATTCACTGGTGAATTCTACTAAACATTTAAAGAAGAAGTTATACCAAGTATCTACAATGTGTTTCAGAGGATAGAAGCACAGGGACTACTTCCTAACTTATTCTATGAGGGCAGCATTACCCTAATACCCAAGCCAGACAAAGACATTACAAGAGAAGAAAACTACAGACCAATATCTCTCAGGAACCTAGATGCAAAAATCCTCAACAAAATATTAGCAAATTGAATCCTACAAGGTATAAAAAGTGGGATTTATCCCAGATGTACAAGGTTGGTTCAACATTTGCAAGTCAATTAATGTAATCCATTACATCAACAAACTGAAAAATCACACAATCATATCAATAGATGCAGAAAAACATTTAAGAAGATCCAATACCCATTCATGATTAAAACTTTCAGTAAACTCTGAATATAGGAAAACCTCCTCAACTTGATAAAGACTATCTACAAAAAACCCTACAGCTAATGTTATACTTAATAGTGAGAAACTCAAAGCTTTCCCACTAAGATCAAGGATTTCCCAACTCACACCACTCCTTTTTAATATCATACTGGACGTCTTTGCTAATGCAGTAAGGCAAGAAAAGGAAATAAAAGGTATACATATTTGGAAGGAAAAAATAAAAACTGCCCTTGTTCATAGAGGACATGGTTGCCTATGTAGAAAATCCAAAATAATTGACCAGAAAACGCCTGGAACTAATAAGCAATTATACCAAAGTTGCAGGATACAAGGTTAATATACAAATGTCAATTACTTTTCTATATATCAACAAAGATACTGTGTTTTGAAATTAAAAACACAATATCATTTACATTAATACCCAAAATAATGAATTACTTAGGTATAAATGTAAGAAAATATGTACAAGATCTATACAAGGAAAACTACAAATCTCTGACGAATGAAATCAAAGAAGAACTAAATAAATGGAGAAATATTCCATGATCATTTATAGGAAGTCTCAATATTGTCCAGATGTCAGTTCTTCCCAACTTGAGCTACAGATTCAGTGGAATCCCAATCAAAATCGCAGCAAGTTATTTTATGGATATGGAAAAACTGATTCTAAAGTTTATATGGAGAGGCAGAAGACCCAGAATAGCCAACATGATATTGAAGGAGAAGAACAAAGTTCGAGGGCTGATGCTACCTGACTTCAAGTCTTAATATAAAGCTACAGTAATCAAGACAGTATGGTATTGGTGACTGTAGAGACAAACAGATCAATGGAACAGAATAGAGCGCCCAGAAAGATTCACTGTAATCCTAGGGGACATTTTTATACAAATTGGCAAGCTAATTCTAACATTTAAGTGAAAATGCAGTAGGACCTAGACTAGCCAAGATAATCTTGTGGTAGAAGAAGAGAGTTGGAGGGCATAAATTACCTGAATTTAAGCTTATAAATCTACAGTGTGTTAGTGACTAAAGGATAGATAAGTAGACTAATAGAACAGAATAGAAAGTCTAGAAAGAGACCTCCACATTTAGTCCACTGATTTTCTGCAAAGACACCAATGAAATTAATAGGAAGGAAAAGCCTTTTCAAAAATGATATTAGAACAATTAGATTTTCAGGTGGGAAAAAAAATGAACATCAACTCTTACTTCATGCCATATTCAAAAATTAATTAAGGGGCTGGCCCGGTGGCGCAAGCGGTTAAGTGCGCACGCCCTGCTTCGGCGGCCCAGGGTTCACATGTTCGGATCCCGAGCATGCACAGATGCACCACCTGTCAAAACCATGCTGTGGTGGCATCCCATATAAAGTGGGGGAAGGTGGGTGCGGATGTTAGCTCAGGGCCAACCTTCCTCAGCAGGAAAAAAAAAAAATGAGGATTGGCATTGGATGTTAGCTCAGGGCTGATCTTCCTCACACACACACACACAAAAATTAATTAAAGATGGATCATATACCTAAATGTAAAACTATAAAACGTGTAGAAGGATACAAGAAAACTGGAAAATTCACAAATATGTGGAGATTAAACAACATGCAACTGAACAACCAATGGGTCAAAGACGAAATCAAAAGAGAAATCAAAAAAATACCTTGAGACAAATGAAAATGGAAATAGAACATACCAAAACATATGGGATGCAGCAAAAGCAGTTCTAAGAGGGAAGTTCATAGTGATAAATGCATACTTCAAGAAACAAGAAAGATCTCAAATAAATTTAGGTTGACTTTACATGTCAAGGAATGAGAAAAAGAAGAACAAATTAAGCCCAAAGTTAGTAGAAGGAAGGAAATAACAAAGATCAGAGTGGAAATAAATGAAATAGAGACTAAAAACACAATAGAAAAGATCAATGAAACTAAGAGCTGGGGTTTTTTTGTTGTTGTTTTGTTTTTTAAAAGCTGGTTTTTTGAAAAGATAAACAAAATAGACAAACTTTTAGCTAGACTCACTGAGAAAAAAGAAAGAGGATTCAAATAAATGAAATCAGAAATGAAAGAGGAAACATTACAACTGATATCACAGAAATACAAAGGATCATAAGAGACTACTATGAACAATTATATGCCAACATATTAGACAGGCTAGAAGAATTGGATAAATTGCTAGAAACATACAACCTACAAAGACTGAATCATGAAGAAACAGATAATTTGAACAGACTGATTACTAGTAAGGAGATGGAATCCAAAATCAAATACCTTTCAACAAACAGAAGTCCAGGATCAGATGGCTTCACTGTGAATTCTATCATATATTTAAAGAAGAATTAACACCAATCCTTCCAAAACATAGAATAGGGGGGAACACTTCCAAACTCATTTTATGAGGCCAGCATTACCTGATACTTTGTCTGATGCCAACATCAGACAAGGACACTGGACACTACAAGAAAAGAAAATTACAGGCCAATATCCCTGATGAACATAGATGCAAAAATCCTCAACAAAATATTAGTAATCTGAATTCAACAATACATTAAGAGGATCATACACCATGATCAAGTGGGATTTATTCCAGGAATAAAAGGATGGTTCAACATCTACAAATCAAGGTGATATACCACATTCACAAAATGAAGAATAAAAATCATGTAGTCATCTCAATAGATGCAGAAAAAGCATTACACAAAATTCAACATCCATTTATGACTAGAAAAAAAAAAAAAACCTCTCAACAAAGTGGGTATAGAAGGAACTTACCTGAAGATAATAAAGGCCGTATATGACAAGCCCACAGCTGACATCACACTCCACAGGGAAAAGCTGAAAGCTTGTCCTCTGAGATCAAGAACAGGACAAAGGTGCCCACTCTTGCCACTTTTAGTCAACATGGTATTGGAAGTCCTAGCCAGAGCATTTATGCAAGAAAAAGAACTAAAAGACATCCAGATCGAAAAGGAAGAAGTAAAACTGTCACTCTTTGCAGATGACAGGATAGTATATATAGAAAATCCTAAAGACTCCACCAAAAAACTGTTAGAACTAATATACGAATTCAGGATAGTTGCAGGATACAAAATCAATATACCAAAATCAGTTGAGTTTCTATACACTAATCATAAACCACCAGAAAGAGAAATTAAGAAAACAATCCCATTTACAATTTCATCAAAAAGAGTAAAATACCTAGAGATAAATTTAACCAAGGAGGTAACAGACACATACACTGAAACTATAAGGAAGACACAAATAAATGGAAAGATATTTCATGCTCATGGATTGAAAGAACTAATATTAGTAAAATGTCCATACTACCCAAAGTAATCTACAGATTCAAAGCT